CTTCCTTCGCCAACTTCTGCAAGCATTTGACTGCGATATAAGACGCCGGTTTTGTACCGTAGGTCAACGTGACCAACTCGTACAGCCTTATGGTTTCGGTGGAATTCTCCCTCCAGTAGATCGTCTGAAGAGGCGTATGCTCTTCGTGCACCAGTATCTGCCTGTACATTTTAATAACATCTGCGGTCAAGATGTACCTATAACAGCGAAACCTGAGAATTATCGTGAACAAATCAGACTGAAGTGTCGGACCCTTGCGCAACGCGTCATTAAGGGATACTCCTTTGCTGTCTTTACTCGAGGCGTCGAATACGACTCGGGTCTTCGTGGATGTCCTATCCTTTCTCACTACAGCTTGGTGCGGTAAGAAAATCCTGAATTTAACGTTCCGTGGCTCATCTATCTGTTTCATATGGCCTAGTCTCTCATAATCCTGCATGAACTGAACGTATTCTTTCTTCAGATCACGATCCTTATCTAGCCTCCTTTCTAACGATAAAAAACGTCGTCGAGCAATATCTTTCGACTCGCCCATTTGCTTCATAACGTCCTCCTTTACAGGCAGCTTGACTACGAATCTTCCCTTTGCGTTCCGTTCGTACGTATTCTCGAAGAATTCCTCGCAGGCCAACTCATCAATGGTAGACTCCCCTCTCACAGGAATGTCGTCAATTTTCCAAAATTGCCGTAGTGCTTCATCCAGTTCTCGGACGCTACTTAGGTTGCAGGAAGCGTATCGCTTGCGTCCTAAATTTCCCGTCGTCACCGATCCGACTATCAACCAACCTAACACAGTTTTTTGCAATATCGGTCTGCCAGGACCTAAATTGATCTGCCCTACGCACATCAACTCCCAGAACCATTCGGTTCCTATCACTAAATCGATTTCCGAAGGAACGTTGAATCGCGGATCTGCCAACCTAATATTACCCGGAATATTAAATTGTCGTTTATCTAATTTTACGTGAGGAACCCTTCTCGTTAGGTTGGATAGAATTATACATTGCACCTTAAATTCGTGAGATCCGAACCTAGACTTAACGTCTACCTCGGTCTTTTCCAACGCCCTGGACACCTGCTGATTAATACCTGTGATTTC